GTAGCCTACGGGTATTTGTGATATTCGCAGAAATATCAGGTAAAGTGTTTTATAAAATACCCTAATTGCCAGAAACAGTTTAACTTCCATTCTATGTTCTATAAAATACCCTAATTGCCAGAAGCAGTTTAACTTCCATTTCATGTTCTATTAAATACCCTAATTGCCAAAAGCAGTTTAACTTCCATTTTATGTTCTATAAAATACCCTAATTGCCAGAAACAGTTTAACTTCCATTTCATTACAATAAGAGTTTAAATTAGTAACATAAAAAAACACCTAAAAACGGGGGTATATTATTTTGTTTATTCCTGATATTTGGGCAAAGCTACATAAGGACTGACTATCTGCGTTAGCTATCCCCAATTTTGAACTGATAGACTAGAGGGAAAGTAGCTAGTAAAAAGCACCCACCGCCAACCCTTCGGATACTCTAATCTGATTGTAGAATTTTATTGTGACTATTATAACGAACCCACGATTCCAAATCGCGAAACGCGATTTTGCGCCAACGGGACGCGAACCTCAGATTTACGCTCATCACTAAATATGTTTTTTATTATTCTTTGCTGCTTTACCATTTAGCAAATAAACCCAAATATTACTATTAGCTATGAACGGACCCATAAAGATCCAAGTGATTCCAAAATGGTTGTTCTTTTAAATTTTATAGGCACTTAACGTTTAATCCTATGGATTTCAATATATTATAACGAAACTATTAAAACAGTGTGTTAGATAAAAACTAATCCAATTACTTGATTGCTTAATAACACTGATTCTGATGAGCAATTTTAACAATCACGTGGTTTTTGACTGTTCAACAGTGTATCGAATACTGGCGTGAAGACTGGTGGTTCGGTCTACAGCGACTTCAGGGCTGTAACCCAGTTATGATTAAACTCTGTACTGAAATACCCCTCAAGTAAGTTTTGGCTCAGGTTGTCACTTCTCATAAAATAGGTATTCGTTACAACACTACAATGACATTCAAGTTATGAATGATACAGCTAAAATTAAAGTAGCTTTTAAGATGGTGTACAGAACATTTGTAAGTTTCTAGTTGCTATAACAGACTTAAAATAAGACCCAAAACTCGAGCGCTTTCGAATAGTTGATTCTTCTTCTTCAGGAGAACAAAGAACACTGGACCTACAATATTATTGAATATTTGCAAATAGTAACTATAGAGACGAGGTAATAAAATAAATATCAAGGCGAGAACAACAACAACAAAATTTTATAAACGGAAACCTCTCGCCGAGCATTGGCTATTATATTATTTCCCTGTCAATGTTCCCATCTTCATTAAAAGGCGTGAGAAGACAAAAAACAAGATTGTGAAGAATCTATCTATCTTCGATATATATATATATATAAAAGAGGAAGTTTGTTTGTTTGTTTATTTTGTTCGCTATAGGAAACCAAACGGTTGAACTTACAAAATTTTAAAAAAACTTCATAATAACCATTTGTTCTCCTGAAGAAGAATAGTCAACTTTTCGAAAGCGCTCGAGTTTTAGGGTCTTATTTTAAGTCTGTTACACTTTATATGTGATCCTTTGTGCTAACTCTTTTGTCAAAATAGTTGCTATAACAATATTTATCACATTCAGTGAATCATTGTTTAAACACGTGCCATTAAGGTTTTATGTTTCCGTTTAATATCGTAAGAAGTTTCTGAGTTATATATATGTTTTTACCACATATGTAGTTTCAACCCTGAGTTTTGTTTCTATTGGCAAAATGATTTTGTGTTCTCTATATGGTAGTTTCCCTATTGTACTTTGTCGTTAAATACTTCTGATTGAGGACCTAAGTCGTTTATCTCTTTTGTTTTCATCTGAGACCTTAAGATGATACATTTTCGACACATAATATTAAATTTACATAAACAAATTAATTACTCGCTATTAAGGTTCTCTGAAATAATGCAGGTTACTAGAAAATAAGCGTTGTGTAGTAAGCAGGCAGTGACTAACCTAGACGTCGAGTCATTCTTGACAAGGAACGTGTTAGTGTGTTTCACGTTGTGTAGTAAGCAGGCAGTGACTAACCTAGGCGTCGAGTCATTCTTGAGAAGGAACGTGTTAGTGTGTTTCACGTTGTGTGAAGTAAGCAGGCAGTGACTAACCTAGGCGTCGAGTCATTCTTGAGAAGGAACGTGTTAGTGTGTTTCACGTTGTGTATTACTGTATATCAACACTATAACAACATAATAGATTACTGTATATCAACACTATAACAACATACTAGATTACTGTATATCAACACTATAGCAATCTAATAGATTACTGTATATCAACACTATAACTACATACTAGATTACTTTATATCAACACTATAACTACATATTAGATTACTTTATATCAACACTATAACAACAGAAAACTGGACGCTGTGCAAGAAAGGGGATTTACAGATTATCACACAACGTGAAACACACTAACACGTTCCTTCTCAAGAATGACTCGACGCCCCGGTTATTCACTGCCTGCTTACTTCACACAACGTTATACACACTAACACGTTCCTTCTCAAGAATGACTCGACGCCTAGGTTAGTCACTGCCTGCTTACTTCTATTATAGTGTTGATATACAGTAATCTATTATATTGTTATAGTGTTGATATACAGTAATATATTGTGTTGTTTTATTGTTGATATACAGTGATCTATTGTGTTGTTTTAATGTTGAAATTTATTAATGTATTATGTTCTTATAGTGTTGAAATTCAGTAAACCATTATTAGGTTATATTGTAAATTTTAATGTATTATGTTCTTATAGTGTTGAAGTTCAGTAATCCATTATTAGTTTATAGTGTTAATTTTAATGTATTATGTTCTTATAGTGTTGAAATTCAGTAAACCATTATTAGGTTATATTGTTAATTTTAATGTATTATGTTCATATAGTGTTGAAATTCAGTAATCCATTATTAGTTTATAGTGTTAATTTTAATATATTATGTTCTTATAGTGTTAAATTCAGTAATCGATGATTAGATTATATTGTTAATTTTAATATATTATGTTCTTATATTATATTTAATTAATATATTATTATATTATAGTGTTACTTTTTAATAATTGACATTGTTATAATTATCCATTATTTGAAGTTCAGGTAGAACTGAATCCCGATTGGCGTGATATATAAATAAAATGAAGCTTCTACTCAAAAATCAAATGACATCTTTCTCTAGACTTGGTGTAGAATCCACTGCGATCGAACCCTTTCTGGAAGGCATGACACTAGCAGAAGCTCTAGCAAAGAAAAGAATATTTATTATTGACTACTGGATACTTAAGGACATCCCTTGTAAAGATGACCAAACTGTAAGTAACAAACTATTCATTTTTATTGACGAAATTTTTCGTTTATCTTATTTCGTCTACTAGTGACTTTTGAAATGGAGTCAAAGAACGTCAAATGAAATTTAATTTCTGACACCCCTTCCCTTAAAATGCGGTCCTCAATAAACTTTTTAAACAATTATATTTTTAGAGACTTGGTTACTTATAAGTTAGACTTATCTCAGAATTATATTATTCAATACAAAATACAATTAAACAGTCAGAAAAGTATTTTACCTTAATGTTGGGTTTGGTTGTAGTTAAGCGTTGAGCTACACAACAGGCTATCTGTGCTCTGACCACCCTGATTTCTTGTGTTGTAAGACTACAGACTTGCGGCTGTATCTTTAAAAAGACAATTTCAGTTTTTTCAGGAAAGAAAATAAAGAATTCTTTTTTATTTCAAACGTTAAGCCTAAATTTGACCATTTTCTAAAGCTGAAAAATATGCATTTGCTTTGATATATACTCAACCCAAAAGGAACTACTTACCGAACTCTTCCTCAAGATTATTCTCCTGATCGAATACTCGGCTATTGATATTCCTACGTCGTCTGTGAAAAATCTTTCTTGCATCATGAACCAGTGTTGCTTTAAAAATGGCGTAAATTCCACAGTAAATTTTAATTGAAGAAACTCACGATATGTCATCACTAGCGCCTTTTGGTTTTAAATCCCATCTAATTGTCTGATGACAGAGTTATTGCCACGTGAGCTAATGAAGAAACCCACGATATGTTATCACTAGCGCCTTCTGGTTTTAAATCCCATCTAATTGTCTGATGACAGAGTTATTGCCACGTGAGCTAAAATTTTGATTTCACCCCATTTGACGAGAAATCTCCGAAAGTTCCAGCAGTAGCAGCTCTAAGGTCGTTACACGTTCTTACAGCAGTAACAGCTCTAAGGTCGTTACACGTTGTTACGGCAGTAGCAGCTCTAAGGCCGTTACACGTTGTTACGGCAGTAGCAGCTCTCAGATCGTTACACGTTTTTACGGCAGTAACAGCTCTAAGGTCGTTACACGTTGTTCCAGCTGTAGCAGCTCTAAGGTCGTTACACGTTGTTACGACAGTAATAGCTCTAAGGTCGTTACACGTTGTTACGGCAGTAACAGCTCTAAGGTCGTTACACGTTCTTACGGCAGTAGCAGCTCTAAGGCCGTTACACATTGTTACGACAGTAATAGCTCTTAGGTACACGTTGTTCCAGCAGTAGCAGCTCTAAGGTCGTTGCACGTTGTTACAGCAGTAACAGCTCTAAGGTCGTTCACATTGTTACGACAGTAATAGCTCTTAGGCACACGTTGTTTCAGCAGTAACAGCTCTAAGGTCGTTACACATTGTTACGACAGTAATAGCTCTTAGGCACACGTTATTTCAGCAGTAGCAGCTCTAAGACAGGTTTTACTTTATTCCAGTAGTATCAGCTCTAAGGTTGTTACACGTTGTTCCAGCAATAGCAACCCTAAGGCTGTTACATGGTGTTCCGTCAGTAGCAGCTCTAAGTTGTTACGCGTTGTTCCAGCAGTATCAGCTCTAAGGCCGTTACACGTTGTTCCAACAGTAGCAGTTCTAAGGTTTTTACACGTTGTTCCAACAGTTGCAGCTCTAAGGTTGTTACACGTTGTTACAACAGTAACAGCTCTTTCTTTTAGTATTACATTAATTGAATGTTTACAAAACGATGTCGTTCACATCTGTAGAATGAAACACATGTACAGTAACAAGCGACCGTCAGTGTAGTGGATAGTGTAGTGTTCCTATATTATTATCAAAGTTAAAAGATATTGTCCGTTCTTTTACTTGATATTGTGTTGACTACATTTCTGTAGAATGAAACACATGTACAGTAACAAGCGACCCGTCATTATTGTAACTCACTAGAAGTCTGTAAAATGGAAAACAAATCATTGAATTTTTAAAGTAACCTCACTAAGGTCGTAATATTTTTTAACCTTTTTTTATCGATTGGTTTAGTATTTCTTTTAAACATGTGTGTTTAATTCGTCATTGAAAACAGTTGTGGGTTAGATCCAGATGTGTATAGAATAACTAGACGTTGGTTACAGTTAGTGGTTTGATATTAACTTGTTTGTTAAGGATTTCGCGCAAAGCTACACGAGGGCTATCTGTGCTAGCCGTCCCTAATTTAGCAGTGAAAGACTAGAGGGAAGGCAGCTGGTCATAACCACCCATCGCCAATTCTTGGGCTACTCTTTTACCAACGAATAGTGGGATTGACCGTCACATTATAACGCCCCTACGGCTGAAAGGGCGAGCATGTTTGGTGGGATAGGGATTCGAACCCGAGACCCTCAGATTGCGAGTCCAGCACCCTAACCACCTGGCCATGCCGGGCCACGATATTAACTTAGAAACTAATGACTCAAGCTTCCAGTATATTCACTCATTCTCATTAGTTTTTTTCTAGCTACCAGCACCTATTGCTCTTTTCTACATGAATAAATCCAATGTGCTCTTGCCAATAGCAATTCAACTGTTTCAACAGAAAGGGCCTGACAATCCGGTAAGAACACGTACTTTCTATTTTTGAGTGGTATTTTCTTTGTTAAAAAATCATATTATTTGCTAAAATATTTATATTTCTGTTGTAATAGTTTTTCATTCCATATCTTTATCCTCATAAAGAGTAGTGTTGAATATATGAGTATTAGATCCCTGCTCCTAATTCGCAGAATGACGAGATACCTTGGACAGCTTGTCCTTGGGCTCTGCACTATTCCAGATCTCTCCGTGAACCATTGTAGCTCTGAGCTGCGCGGCCGCACAACAACCAATCAAGTACCGCGCACTTTATTATTCCAGCCGAGCACTTCCTCAGTAATGGTGAGGAGTCTCATCACGTTGACGGCCTTAATGACCCTGGCAGTCGATAGACCTAAAGCCCAAATAACCAATTGGTAGTACTGCAAAGTGATCCAATGGGGTCGATGGTCTAAAAATACCCCTGCCTCTAAAAAATATCTGGTAGAGCACATCCGTACATTGCCTTTATACTGGTGCACATGAAAAAAATTCATTCTGCACATTGATTGAAAAAATTAGAGTATCACCTCCAGTTTCTATATGCTACCCTCGGGTGGGGTTAATCAGAGCATCCCTTGGAAAAAACTCGAATGGTGATTCTGCTTCCTGAGTCTTCAGCTGCAGTGGAAAATGTTGACATGAACGTTCTCAACATCAGCAAAAGTCCGACACCAGGAGAGGAATTCTCTGATACTTAACCATTCTCTCTGACTACCATCTACCCTCAATGACCACTCTGACTACCATCTACCCTCGATGACCACTCTGACTACCATCTACCATCGATGACCACTCTGACTACCATCTACCCTCAATGACCACTCTGACTACCATCTACCATCGATGACCACTCTGACTACCATCTACCCTCGACGACCACTTTGACTACCATCTACCCTCAATGGCCACTTTGACTACCATCTACCATCGATGACCACTCTGACTACCATCTACCCTTGACGACCACTTTGACTACCATCTACCCCCAATGACCACTCAGATTACCCCTTACCCTCAGTGGCCACTCTGACTACCATCTACCCTCGACGACCACTCTGACTACCATCTACCATCGATGACCACTCTGACTACCATCTACCCTC